CGTTTCAATCCCTAGAAACACGATCACTTCGGGTCCGATCGTAGAAAGGGAGGGAAAACAATTTGAAAGGGGATGTAACAAATTGTGATCAAATTCTGTTGTAACACAGTCATGTTAAATCCCTCATCTCCAGAATTTCTCAATATTTGAATGCCAGAACTTGAGATAATCTTACCTGATAAACCCAATTGTAGAATGAATGGGATAAACATAAACAGGAAATAAAAAGGGGAAAAAATGAATGAATTCATCAGGTAAAAGAACCTTCCTGATTAAATTAACCCACTTATAAGTTATAATATAGTATGTACAGAATTGGACTAAAGCTGCAAAACTTGTTTGTTCTTCTGTGTTCCTCTGTTCTTGAATTTCCAATTACCCATCTGGATTTGGATAAATATCACATCATATCATCTCATGTTGCAGCACTGAGGCTTTGTTTGTTGCATCAACTTTTCCCACAAGCACATCATCTGTCTTGGAGATTGGTAATGTGCAGTTAGATAATCTTCAATACACCCGAACTGGCAAAACCTTAGACTGTGAAGGAATTCCACTGGTTTTGAACTGTTGAACTGCTCCACCCACATTCCCATGCTCACATCTTCCATCTTGAACAACTGTGTGTTTTTTCACTATTATTAGCTAACTCTTCAAATGCCATTTATTTGTGGGGAGGGGAGAAGAAAGGAACTGTTTCAAACATACCCTTAATTTGTGCTTCTCAAATTCAGATACTATATACTCCGCAATGTCGGATGATAAAATGTAACCCGGTCCATTGGCGTAAGCTGGGTAATCTTCTTCTGGCCATTCCTGAACCGATTGAAACAATAACCGAATCGTATGAGAGATCGGTCTATGACTCTTATATATGGCTAACTAAACAAGGATGCATCTTATACAAAGTTCAAATCCCCCACCCATAGCAGCATTATGAACAACAGAACAGCAAAATGATATCACTAGCATAGCAGCACTATGAACAACAGGACTGCAAAATGATATCACTAGTGGGCATGCTTACAGTCATACCTCGTACGTCACCGCCCATTTTCCATGACGAAGAGGTTTATGGTGATAGTTCATATTTCCAACATAAAGGCTCCTGCCCGCTCGCACCTTGTGAGCTTCATCAATCACTGCATCTACTCTAACAAATGTATCATCATCACACTTCATGATATATTTTGCAGCCACCGTGCGAACCTGCAAGATCGAAACATGGAATGATATTGCCAACAACGAAGTGCCTAACTCACAAGGTTTGTGTCTTTTTCTCAAAACTCACCCCATATTCACAGATTGCAATTGTCTTCAATACAACAAGATCATAGTTATCCATGTAAGGAACCATGACGATATCCCCGAAGTACTCCGCTTCTTTCTTTAACTCAATATTTACTTCCTTTCTTCCGTGCTATCAGAATATAACACAGAAGTTATTATCACTTCCATAACATAAATGATGGAATATTTCTAAGAAGCACACCACTGCTTACCATTGCCACAAAAAACCGAGCAACGACTAGTGAAGATCTGATCAACTTATGCTGCATCCAAGACTTCCTAACCGCCATTCGTTCTGCAAAATGATTGCCAGCAGAAAGGATGCCGATGAAAAGCTCCACGTTTTTTTCGGGAAGTGGAGGGGCTTTCCATTGTGCCAACATCTCCATATGCTTCTTTGGTGCAAAACTAGGATGTGCAGTGGGTAAGGAAGCAGCAAATATGGAGTGCACGTCTATATCGCCATTTACAGATAAACCAGTGGCATCCTCCAGAACAAACCCCTGTCATCATCATAGTTTAAAAACCTCCATGGAGTTCAAAATTTGAAGAACATATATAGAAAGAGTACTTACAGTGCGATATGGAAAAGACGTGATGTGCCTTCCATCGACATTGATATGGTAACCTTCCAGCCCAGCACTCACAGTTAGAACAAATAGTCTGCCCTCCGCGAAAGGAAATGGCCAATCGATCGCCACCTTTTTCGTGCGTCCTATTAACCTATTTAACCACCATATTACCTTCGATTCTTCAGAACGGCTGTCGTCATCACGAATCCACTTCTCACATTTTACCTGCCCGTCAACTTCATAAAATCCCAATAGTAGGTTAGGAAATGTCTCACTTGAAGAAATCGGTCAAGCAAAAGAAAGTGCACAGCAAAATCTACATCCTTCAAATATGATCTTCAAAATCTTGATAACAACAAACTAGTATGGCAATTTTTCATATCACAAGTCATTTTACTGAAAGCAACACAGAAAATTCAGGATTTGCACAAAACTTGCTAGTTTAAGATTCAATACATTATATCAACCACCTTGACTCTCCAACACATAACAAAACTGGTTCAGTTCAGTACGAAATTCTTATCAATAGACAAAACAAACACAAGGGAGAATGAAAATAAAGCATTTTCAAACAGCATGAAAGACAACTTCTTACCAGTTTCTTCATCCGCCCTGGATTTCCATCCCTCACATCTCAGCGCTGTGCTCCACTGCATCCTATAACAAGTGTTCTGTTCGATAACAGGCTTGCCACTCCAATCTCCCTTCAACCTTGGATTGAAATGAAGTATTCTTGGTGGGTCTTCGCCATCCACCGTCTTCAACCCTTGCAACTCCATCATAAACTGTGATACCATCACTGGATCATCCCCTTCCCTCAAGATTGAAATCTTGGGATCCTGTTCCGAGTGAGCCCAACGAGGTGTCCCCACCACAGTAATATGCGACCAGAGCGTCAAGCCGCAGGGGAGCACCATAATCCGATTCTGTGTCTCAAATTCGGATCCAGAAAGCGTAATCGAATGTGGACATGGCTCCGACTGATTCTCTATCTTTGTTTCAGGTTTGAGCTCAATCTTCCCGGACTCTAAGTCCTCCCAGAGCTTTTTCCCCACTACCCAAGCATGCTTAGCCGCTTTTTGAAGCTCGGAGAACTCGCCCTTACTAGCATTACGATCAAATGTGGCTTCGTCAAACACTAATCCCGAAACTTTACTGAACTCACGCATTCGCCTCTCGGGTGTCCGATGCGGCGCGCCATAAGAAATCTTAAAGGGATCATCAGAGGGTCGACGAGGGGCATCCTTATCCCCCATTTCCTCTTCACTTTCAAGCAGAAACGACCTCGGCAAAGCGTCGCTGGTGAATCCAAATGTTTCATCACCAGGCACCGACTCATATCCGGTTCGATACACCAGCGGGATTTCAAAACTCATCAAAAGCAGATATAAAAACACCAAACCCATCAAAATTTGAAGCAACCTGATTCGATTTCGCGATAACATGGAATCAAATTTCCCCCGTTTCATCTCAAGGTAGTTTACAACCACCCCCAAAAGAAAAAGAAAAAAAAGAAATCAATCGTAAACAACAACAAATGCAAGAGTTTATCCTATGCAAACAAACTTTTAACTCCCCCTTTCTACAATCCAAAATTCCCCTCCAACCCTAACCCTAGTTAGTGGCATACCCAGTAAAATGGAAACGAATTGAAGCTCTGGAAAACTAAGCTGAACAACAACACCTCCGTCGCATTGCAAAAATAATTAAAAACTCACATGAAATTTGTATTCATCTCCGTTGCAATAAAGGAAAAACGATGAAAACGACAGCGTGTTACTGCTCACGTGGCCTCATTTCTGCACGCTTTCCATTTTCAACCTGTCACAACCATTCTTTAATAATTCTTACATTTCTTCCAATTATCGATTAATTAAAATTCTCTTTATTCTAAATTAAAAAAATTAAAATTAAAAAGAAAAAGGCAAGTGGTGGTGGGGAAGCACACCTCATCCCAGCTCTTACACGACGTGTTTTAAATATTTTTATTATTATTTAGATTCTTTTTTTTATTTAATTATCTTTTAATATGTAACCTTAATTAAGATATTTCCAAACATTTTCTACTTAGAGCTAAAATCTGATTAATTTGGTGTGAACTTACCGGTTAAAGAACTTGTGACACGTCAGAAAATACAGGTTTCCATAAATGAGTAAAAAAAAAGGATGATGCCACGTGTCCCCGAACATGCATGAATTTGAATAAATTAAATTGTTTCTTACATTAATTTCGCAAATGTGTCTGCGTCAACCTGAAGGATTGTCGGCTTGGCTAAAAGTCAAAATATCCGACGGTCAACCATTCTCCCATTTTCTGAGATCCATGCAGATATATGGCATAAGCGACGACGTATGACTTCTTATTTTATTTTATTTTATTTTATTTATTCTTCCTTTTTCTGTTTTGTTAATTATATTTTTTAGGGGAATTTATTATTTGTAATTTTTCCGTTAATATTCTAACTATTTTTTTGGAATACACCCATTTATAATTTCATTACTAATGTTTTAACATTTTTAGTTATATTACCGATTTCATTTCAAATATGCTTTACTGACTTTTAATTTTGTATTTTTGAGGTCCAATTTTAATATAAAGTCATTAAGTTTAATTTACATTAAATTTTTTTTTTTTATAGTTAATAAGATATCGTTATTTCGATTTATTTTATATTTTATAGGTTTATGAGTCCAACCTTGGTCGAGCACGTTGATTCATAGTGAACTTCTATAACTTTATCATGTTTGTCCGTTACCATTTTTACTTGCTTTCATGTTAGATAAAACTTTATTGTTATTGGACGTGTAGTCCGGTTACCATTTTTATTTGCTTTCATGTTAGGGAGTATATGACCGGTCACCAAATCATCATATCTACACCCGTCATGACTAAAATGTCAAAATGTACTATAAGGGATATTACTCATTGTAACGTTTTTTTTTTTTCAAATTGTTTACGGGGCATTTCCTTTTTTACATTTTCTAAAACATTTATTTCAAACATGACCGGGTTGGAGCATGTATTAAGGTTATCCACAAGTCAAACTTTTGTAATATAATTTGTTCGCTGGATTAGAACGAATGTCACAACATAGCTATTGTGCTATTGTGCTATTACAAAAGGACAAAGTGTGAAACTGAGCATTATAACAGGCTGTACGGTGTTATTGTTATTTTCTATGGAAATTGGTTGAAGCTGGCTGTGCACAGAAACCGTCTTAGTTTACAGGATCTCTTGACCCATCCCCAACTGCTGGTAATTTACATAATCAATTCCGTTTAGTCTAATACAACATAAGATCTCCTCTGGCAGTTCTTCAGATTTGTTCCCCTGTTTCACAACCCATCACAGAAGTAAGAAAAACAGGACCATTTTTAGATCTTACCAAAAAAGAGATAAAAACGGTAACAGTCCAAGCCCAATTCGGTCTGAATCGAGTGCCCCAACCCCATTTAGGCACTAAAACAAATCCATCATTGATTTGATTGATAAGGTGGAATGTCTATTCAATGCTAGGCAATATCCTCAGACATATATGAAATGGAATAAAGATGAGAAAGGAGAAGAAAGAGAGAAAAGAAAGCGCAAAGCGCAAAGCAACCAGTTCAGACTGCGCAAGATCAGTTAAAGAATAATAAATATAGGCTTCGGAGCTTGACCTTTCATACAGCTGACATGGCCTTTCCATTCCAATATATCTTGACATGGGCCAGCAGTAGCGCCCGCATTTTGTTTGGCACCGCTTGTTACGATCATTTGTATAGGGAAGGCTATAAATATTGTTTGTTTTGACTCATAACATATCGCCGATTTTTAAAACGTGTATGTTAGGGAGAGGTTTCCACACCCTTACAAGGAATGCTTCGTTCTCTTCTCCAACTGACGTGGAATTTCACAATCCACCTCCCTTGGGGTCCAGAGTCTTCGCTCGCACACAACTCGGTGTCTGGCTCTGATACCATTTGTAATGGCCCAAACCCTAGTAGATATTTCCGCTTTGGTTCGTTACGTATTGCCATCAGCCATACGGTTTTTAAAATGCGTCTGTTAGGGAGAAGTTTCCACACCCTTATGAGAAATGTTTCGTTCCCCTCTCCAACTGATGTGGGATCTCACAATCCACCCCCACCCCTCTTGAGGTTCAGCGTCCTTACTGGCACACCGCATAGTGTCTGACTCTGATACCATTTGTAACGGTCCAAGGTCACCGCTAGTAGATATTATCTGTTTTAGCCCGTTGCGTATTACCGTCAGCCTCACAATTTTAAAACGCATCTGCTAGGGAGAGGTTTCCAAAGGTATATAAGGATGTGGGATATAACAAAAACAAAAACATTGTTACAAGAAACTTGCCTGAATTGTGAGGCCAACATCCAAAATACAGCACTTGAGTCTATCAAGAAACGCTTCAAAACCTTTCCTTGATATGTAACTAAATCTGTGCATATCCAAGTCGATTTCCAAGTAGTTTTCTCCCTGTAATTCATCGCTTCTTTCATATGAATCATTCCAAATCTGTCTGTAAAGCAATAAAAAACTGAACCTACCGAGTAAAATTCATGTTGGGGACGCGAGAGGACGGGCTTTTCATTGTAAGCCTGCATAAGCTTCCGCTGTGCAGTGCTCATTGAAAGATCCTCCACGTTTGCAACTCGCCCCAAAATTTTCAATCTTTCCCTAAAGGGTACTACAGTGTCTACTGGAAAACCCTTCACCTTTTCAACTTCATCATCAATCAGCTTCTGTTTTTAGAGTTTTACATTTCATGAAACAAGCTATTGAAGATAAAGAAGGATTGAATGGGAATTTGCAAGTACCGAGTCTTACCCTGATATTTTCTTGAAAATGAGATGTAAGTTCCTTGGCATATGTATCAGAAAGCTTAAAGTACAAGACGATACTCATCCCTTCTCCATCGGTATCTCCATGAAAAATTGCTGCAGGATACAATGGAATCTGAAGAATCCAGTATTACAAGATCAAAGCTACAAGAATCCAAGGCAATACAAGAAAGAAAAGTACTCAAACACGTTCAAATATCTATAATAATAAAGGGAGCTAAGGTGGGGGCTGTCAAACATCAGGCAGTTATGGCCAACCATGTATTAGGCCAAGTCCACCGCTAGAAGATATTGTCCTCTTTAAGTTTTTCCTTTCGGAGTTGTCCTCTTTTTAAAACGTGTCTAATTGGGAGAGGTTTTGTAACAGTAAAGATATTGTCCTCTTTAGGTTTCCCTTTCGAGCTTCCCCTTAAGGTTTTTAAAATGCGTCTACTAGGGAAAGGTTTCCACAACCTTATAAAGGGTGTTTCGTTCTCCTCCCAACCAATGTGAGATATCACAGGTTTTCACATTCTTATAAGGAATGCTTCGTTCTCCTCTTGAACCAAAGTGAGATCTCACAATTCATCCCCTTCGGGGCTCAGCGTCCTCGCTGACACACCGCTCGGTGTTTAGATCTGATACCGTTTGTAAGAGTCCAAGCCTACCGCTATAGATATTGTCCTCTTTGAATTTTCCCGTTTGGGTTCTCTAAACCACATCCCTATAAGAATGCTTTGTTCAACCATGTACATTTATCACAGCACAGGCAAGGCATGGATTTACCTGAACATTCACGACAAGGATAGGTGGAAGTTTTCCAGAATAATTAGCCACAGGAAGTTCGACAAATCGAGCGATGTGATCCACTTTCCGATGGGACAAGAACACATCAACTCCAAATGGACAGTAAGCAGCATGACTGGGAGCAAACTCTTTCTTCTTGTCCCTGCAAATTTGTAGGATTATTTTGCAGTGATAGAATGAAAGAATCAGATCGTTGCTTTTGGTTTTGCGATATTGAGCCAAGATCATTGATGCAATGATGAAATCATAGAAAGACTTTGTTACTTACTTTGCATAGTTTACTCCCCGAACTTTAAAACTATCTGGCTCAATATATGACCAACAATCTAGCATTTTCTTTTCAGCTGGGCAAAAGGGTACTTGAGAACCTGCTATAGGTCTTCGTAGAAGCGCTTTCGACGAAACTGAAAGAAACAGAAGAAAACAAGACTAAATCACTCCAAATTTGAAGAAATCTAAAAGATTATATGAGATCACACCTCACCTCAATTGGAGAGGGGAACAAAACATTCCTTGTAAGGGTGTGGGAACTTCTCCCTAACGGACGCGTTTTAAAACTTTGAGGGGAAGCCTAAAAGGGAATGCCTAAAAGGGAGTGCCCAAAAAAGACAATATCTGCTAGCGGTGGACTTCGATTGTTACAAATGGTATTAGAGTCAGACACCGGACGGTGTGATAGCAAGGACGTTGGACTCCAAGGGGGTGAATTTTGAGATCTCACATCGGTTGGAGAGGGGAAAAAGCATGTCTAATAAGGGTATGGAAACCTCTCCCTGACATACATGTTTTAAAACCTTGAGGGGAAACCCAAAATGGAATGTCTAAACAAGACAATATCTATTAGCGGTGAGCTTGGGCTGTTATCGTTCACGCAGGGAACGGGAAGAAGGAAGGATGCAGTTATAAAAAAACAAGACCAGTAAGGCAGAACATAAAACATGTACTTCTTGAACACTCACATAAAGCAGCATTGGGGTTTCCTTCTTTCCATTTGAACGACAGTTTCAAGGTTGCCTTTTTCAGTCCACTTGGAGGACTAGAACTTGGTGATTTTCTCTTTTCAACAGAGTTCATTGTTGATGCAAGACAAGGCAAGCAGTTGCTTGGTAAAATCCCACAATTATCCAATACTCCAACGTCTTTGGCAGAGCTTTCACCAGCAGTGGAGGAGATCTCGTCGACGAATACTGGTTCGTTCGCCTTGCTCGAGTGTCCATAACCCTTAAGTTGGGGTTCTGCATCATCTGGATTCATTGCCTGAGAATGTGAATCCCTTGCAACTTGACTCACAGAATGTACTCTTCCTGAATTTCCTGGTCTATGAATCTGATCCGTGGTCGCGCTATGTCGATTCACATGAAGATCTCCATGATTAGCATCTCCAGAAGACGAAACGCTTGACGTTGATGCACCTTCAAAGCTATTAATTGACTGTATGTCTGCAGGAACTCAGAAGGTTCACAATGGAAGAATAAGAAAACTTCCCATCAGAACAACATATTCAAAGGAAAACTTACCTTCAGGAACACTTTGGTAATCTTCATCGCAATCCGATTCAAATTTTGCAACTGTATCAAACCAGGCCTCATCAAAACTTCCAGCTGAGACACCACAAATGATACAGATTCATATAAAGAAAAAAAGCCAGGAAATGAATTATATGATGCTTGAAGTCATAACAGCATTTCAAGACAAGCTCATTATTCCATCGTTTCAAAATGTATATGATATCATGACAGACAAAATCCTCATCATATGATTCATAAAACATAGCTCAGCATATGATTCATTGAATTGGCTCATTTCCTGAACCTGGATCAGATAGAAATTGGTTGGACTCGCCAATGAGCTAACATTTCTGGAATTAAAAGGAAAACCCCATAAAAAAAGGTAATAAATCTCAACCAAACAACCAAAAAGGGCAAAATCAAACTTCCCCTGGAAAACTAAAACATGGAAGGAGAAAGAAAAAGGAACGAACCTTGGAAAGTGGGATTGGAAAAGGAGCGATGATCAATCGGATTGGAGCGGCGCGATCCATCGGAGAGGGTAGAAATTGCCGTGGTTTTGGAAGCTTTCCTCCTTCTCCGGCGGTTCTTCTTCTTGGAAGACTTCTTAAATTTGGCTCTGACACAGCCCTCCGGCGTGGAAACGCAGGCACCCATGTCGGCGAAGCAATAACACAGAATTTTCTTCGTTAAAGCTACCGTTTGTTTCTTAAAATCCCAAGTCCCCTGGCTTAAAAGCAACGAAAATTTGGATCATTATTTTGATGAGTATGTATGAGGAACGTGAATTGGGAAATTGGGGAGCACTAGCATTGGCGAAGGAAAGACGACAGCCTAAGAAGCCATTGGAAGGAGGAGACCAATCGCGGGAAGCTTTCCGGAAATAAATAGATATTGATATTAATAATAAAGGGACCCACGAGATTACACGTGGCATATATTGATTTACATAAACCTATGGAACCCTAAACGCGGCTGCTACAGCTGACCACATATTATATGATATTATAATCTCTTCCCTCCCTAGTTTTCTTCCATATTTTTAGGAAAAAAAAAATTCAATTCTATATATTATGAAAAAAAAAATCTAATAATAAGCGTCTTAAAATGGGTCGCGCTTGTCTTCTCCTCTCCAACTAACATGGGATCTCACAATCCACTGGAGCAGCCTCCTCAATGCATACCACTTGGTATCTAACTCTGATACCATTTGTAACAATTCAAACTCACCGCTAACAGATGTGTCCGCTTTGACCCATTACATATCGTCGTCACCTATGCAATTTTAAAACGTGTCTACCATAAAAAGGGTCTAGCCCTACTCCAACCAATGCATGACAACGTCGGTGACTAACTATGATACTATTTGTAATTGTCAAAATCCACCACTAGCATATATTGTCTACATGATTAAATATTTCTTAAACATAGTTCAACAAGTCTAGATTCCTACCGCCCCATCCTTTATTTCTAACAAAAAATTTACGTTACTTTTAAAAGGTTAGGAGTATTTTTTAAATTTTTAAAAAAAATTTAATAGTATTAATAAACCTTTTAAAACATAAATGTATTTTTAAAATAAAGTAAATTTATATTATTGAAACCCTCCGACACAAAAATATAAATTTTAATTTTTTTTTAATTAATTTAGTGAAGAATAGGAATAGGTTAGCCATCCATCCATCGGAGGGGCAAGTTTCTTTGCCCTTAAAGGCAGCCACGTTTTTATTTTTCATCAATAATTGGGAGCGTATACTGTATTTTATTATCTACAACAAACGAAATTGTTTGTTTATTTAAAGTGAATTAATGACATTTGAATATTAAAAGCTTTCATTTAATTACAACGAAAATAGTTGGGAGCTTTAAATGAACTTTAATGGCATTAAAAGGGTAATAGCAGGAATTGGATGGTGGCAGTTGCCTGTGTGTGGAGGTGGCCTCTCTGTTTTTTAAGCTCAGAAAAGGGCCCATAAAAGCATGATTTGAAGGCTAATGGCTATTTTTCTTCCATAATAGTCTTTTCTGTATTATTCAGGTTGACCAAGATGGTCTCTTCTTTTCCTACCTACGAATAAATGAAGGCTCTATAAGGCTCGGGAGGAGTAATGAATGCAGAGATAGATCTCGCGTGTGGTTCAACAAAAAGTTGGCACAAGCGGTATAGATTGACAAAGAACACTGCCCATGTCTTTCATTAATGTTCGACTGTTGATCGATGGCGTCAGTGAGAGCTGTGGTGGAGGAGCAAGAAAAATAGTCTATCAAAAATAACGTGACTATGTCGCAGGAGTATGTCAAAATCATTTAGTGTTGAATTTTGAGTATGAGACGTTACATACAGTCTATTCTCTTGGTGAGTTGGTGATGATTAGTTGTAAAGAATGCTGTTGCAAAGCTGTTCACTCATGGACCCCAAATTGCTTAGCTTGTGAAATTGGCTTCGAGTGAGGTGCATTTTGACAATGACAACAAGATTAATAGTGTCATGGTCGTACATTTTCGACGTTGCGACGTTATGATTTTGATGCGCTCGTGATAAGTCTCGAGGGGAATTTAAGTCACATATTTAATTTTTGTTTGTCTTTGTGGCTTCATCCAACCTTAGGCAAGGTTTGTCTTGGCCAACTAAATACAACTCATGCGAAATCTAAGCTTGTTCAGCCACATGGTAGCTCGCTTAGGACAAAAGACTATGGGTGGTGGCAGGTTGACACTATGCCTTCCCTTAAGATACATTTTGAGGCATTCTTCATTTGACAAGTGTATATATGATGATTTCGTGGAGCGTTCATTTGATGTTCAGTGGATACAAAATTTGGCGAGTCTTCATATTTCATATGGATAGACTTACCTTAAGAGCTGCATGTCCAGACTCTTTTCGAAACCCTGACTTTCGAGGTCAAGACTTAGTGTCCTACGCTTAGTCAATGGTAATTAATATAATGTTTTTTATTAATATAATTAACGCGAATACAATGGTAATTACGAAGTCTGAAAAGTACGGTGTCTTACTGGACCGCTCAGTCACGAATTAAAGAGTTCATAAGACCGCCAACTGCTCCCGATATCTGTATAAAGCGAGGGAGCGGGACTGAAGCTCACGCGCGCCGTCTGTCTTTCGTTTATAGAAAAACCGTTGACAAGCCGCCAACTTCCGGATGCACAACCACGCGCTTTCCTAGTTCGGTACCCCACACGATGGGTCGAAGGGCATGACGTGGCGGTCGTGACTGGGCAAGGGAAAGGGTCAATATTGCAAAACTACGCCTAACAAGAGGGCTAATAGTTCCATCGTGAAGGGCGCTGTATCTCCTCCGCGTTTTACCGTCGATTGAACCACCGGAGTTCGATTACGCCGCTGGGGGAGCTTCTTCTTCTTCATCTTCATCTTCTTCATCTTCTTCATCTTCTTCATCTTCTTCTTGTAGATTATCTTCTAGAACCGCCTCGGTGACGCCGGATCGGGAGGCCTTGCTGCAATTGGAGCGAGGAAATGAGTGGATGGGATAGGGTTAGACAATCGAGTTCGAGATTTAGCCGCGGTAATTCTGCAATGACGGAGAGGACCTCCTCTTCTAACACGGTTCGACTTGGCCGAGTCCAGCCGCAGGCTCCTGGACATCGTACCATCTTCTGTAATGATCGCGACGCTAATCTCCTTGTCAAATTCAAGGTGTGATCATTTCAAAGTATTGTATTGATTCGTTTTTTTCCTTTTGGCGTCGTTGGTCACGATGTAGATGCAATGCGGGCCTTGATTTGATTTGTTACAACTCTCGGAACTTGGCATTGGCTCTCAAATGTTTTTTAAGAAAGGAGTAACAAGGAGTCCAATGTCTGGCATTGGCTCTCAAATGTTTCTCCATTTATCTTCAGCCAATGCGCTCGTTAGCAAATCTTTAGCCAATATTGGCTAGTTTCTAACTTCATCCTATGGATTTGAATCGCTGTCAATTTGATGTTGTTTACAGGGGAATTCGGTCTCGACGACGAAGTATAACTTCTTCACTTTCTTTCCGAAAGGGTTGTTTGAACAGGTAACTAATTTTAAGCGTCCCAGGTCTTATATACTGTTTGTTCAGTTTGTTACTTCGTTAGGCCTTTTCTTTTGGTTCGAGTGATTGAACTTAGAAAACGTTTACACAAAAGTCATTATGGCTGGTCTCGTAGATGAAAAATGAACAAGTATTTTACTAATGCAAACTGGAGGGGAAGTGCTAATCATACTATTGGTCCAAGAACAAGATATATTGGAAACGATAAGTTATTATTAGGAATTTCGGTTTTTGAAGTGAGTGGCGATAACATGCTCTGTACTGGATTTATCGTGTAATTATCTTTAGGAATTGGAATATTTTAGGAAGATAGACTCATATGACGATGTTCAGTGGTACTTTTGTGTGATCAAATGATGTGGTATGACCCCAACTTCATTGTACTACTACTATCTATTACTTATTTTCGTTCTTGAGTTCATACTATTACTGTTTATATTTACGTTAACGTTGTATCTGCCATTATTATTATTTTTTTCTTTAAATGGGAAAGTTAAATTGTATATCCCAAAAGAACACAGGAAAAAGGAAGGGAAGATCAGTCTTCTCCAAACTTAGGCCAAAGGAATCACAATAATAATAAATAAAAAACCACTCCAATTGGCATTCTTAAAAAATGTTATAAAATTGCCTGTTCATCGTTATTGTTTTATTTTTGTTTTTGCCATTTACAACTTAGCCCAGCTACCATAATCACTTTTTTGCAACGTTACATGTCTGATTAGAGTTCTGTATTATTATTATTTTTTTTGACAGTTCAGGCGTGTGGCTAACCTATACTTTCTTACCATCTCAATCTTATCCACCACACCCATCAGGTTGGTTAATAGCTGGATAGGCATATTCACATTTGGTAGCATTCCCCAGTTGCACTTTACATTGTTTCTTAATAATTGTTTGATGTGTAGAAGATACCATGTTGGTTGTTTTAGCTTATTCTTATTGTAGTTTAAAATTTGCAATTGCTAAGTGGTACACCATGTGCATTCATGAGATCTTGATTAGGTGATTCAGTATATTCTAGCATGTGGTAAAATTCATTAGAAAGTCACGGACATTTCAAATTTGGCTGAGAGGAAAGAAGGGTCCTGTTAGCTGATTACTGAAAGCTAGGCAGTGATTTTTCATTCGAACAATAGAAAACTTCTTTTACTTAATGCTTTGCAGTCATCATCTAAAGATGAAAGCAAAGATCTTTTCGTTAAACACCTATAAATTTATTTTATGGAAAACGTGGTTGGGAAGAACAGGAGAAGTTTCCAATTGGTGGAGAGAAATTGTAACTTTCTTTGGGAGTTCACTGTTGCCGTTTTTTCCTCTTGAAGATGTCGCAATGGTCCAAAAAAAAAAAAAAAAAAAAAAAAAAAAAAAAAAAAAAAAAAAAAAAAAAAAAAAAAAAAAAACTGAACCCTTTTGATTGTGCTGGTTGGAGAATTGTTTTGTAACTCCCTTGGTTTGTATGGGCTTCTAACCGTGTCCATGGTTGTTTTTTCCAATGGAGTTTAGAAAAAAGAAGAAGACAAGAAATAACTGATCTTGCCTTTGTGACGAAGATTGTGTTTACTTTGTACTCTTCTCAAGGCTTGGTCTTTTTTTTTTTTTTGCATTTTTCAAAAAAAAAAAAAGGAAAAAAAGTTTGTTAATTATGAGAAAGAAAACTGAATGTTGCTTTAAAAATTTTATATTGTATTCTTGCTTTTAATCTATTGATTTATTTTGTTGGAGTTTCATAGTGTTAAATAAGGGTTGGGGCCATTGAATATTGTTGTATTAATCACATTTTTAATTATTATTCATTGT